GTATTTTTTTTTATTTGCGTGTTTTTATTTGTTGACAAGTTACAAATTGTATTTCTTACAACCCGTTACGTAAGATACATACACAAAAAGTGTTATTCTATAGTTTAGAGTATTTAGTGGTAATTACGTTGTTTGCTAAAGCTTTAGAACATTTAGAGATGATTGAGTTGTGTGCAGTTTATATTAGTAATTAATATATTTATAATATACAATGTCACTAGAATTTGTAAATAAATGAATTGAATATACTTAATGCAATTCATTTATTTACAAATTCGATAATTTATTTTAAATTACCAACCTCGAATATTTTTATTAAAAACATATAAGTACATTAGCAATTAATTATCCTTTAAATACTATTTAAATCAAAAAGTCAATTTAGTCAAAATAAAAACTTATTCGATTGTCGTTATGCTTGCGAAAAACTACAATAAGTAACAAAAGCTGTGTTATTTTAAACTTTTGTTTGCAAAAAGCTTTAAAAATGACATAAATAAATTAATTAGAAATCACCTATTTGGAAATATTATGAAACTTGTAGGGAAGACAATAAACTAGTAGTTTGTGTAAAAGCAAGAACTCCAAGTAAGTAAAACTATTACGTATATTATAATTAACTAAATATGTTTTAATAAAACAAGTTATTTACGCAGGTAATTTTTTTATTCCTTTTTTTTTTCCCAGTAGGTTTACTCTAAGTTAAGTTTAGATACTCTTTTTTATTTCTAGCTCTCTCTGTTTCTCTCTCTCTGAAAAACCACCTTTGAACAAGCATTCTGAGCAGTACGCTAAGTTAACTGAAACTCCGCCATCAAGAGGAAGCAAAAGTGACTTATCATTTATATCGATTCTAATATACCAACAGTAACAGGTATGTTAAAAAAGAAACAGTTAACTCTTGAAGACAACTGAAAGTAAATTGTGTTGGAATATTAGTGATCTAAAATAAAAAAAATATATCATTATTTATTTGAAGAAATGATTGACAAAGAACCATTATAACTTGTTGAACGAGTTTTCCATAAGCTTCAACAACTTATGGAAAAAGCATTACCACAATATAAAGTACCTTGTCGCACCTATATGAATGAGAAAATTATCCCCAATATATTTAATAGAATTTACACTAAAATTGAAGCTAGTATTTCACAAGCAACAGCAGTATCCGTGATATCTGACATGTGCACAACAACCAAAATTTCTTATGTTTTTCTGCGCATTGGATATCTCCAGATTTTATTCATGAACATGCTGTTTTAGCAATAAAGCCGTTTTCTGGTTCACATACTAGTACCAATATTACAAAAGAACTCAATACTATTGCAGAAAGATAGAGCATTTAACATAGCAAAATTCATTTTTTATGTCCTTGACAGTGGAGCCAAGAAAAACTAAAACGCATTCGTCAAGCACTTAAACTGCTAGACCACCAATTAATACAAAACGTAAGCACAAGCTGGAATTCAACATACTATTTATTGGAGCGATTATTAAAGCAAAAGCAAGCTGTTTTGTTATCTATGACTGATCATAATTCTTTAAAAAAATTAACACCTGCTCAATGGGAGTTAATGGAACAATGTATCAAACTCCTCAAACTGTTCGAAGAAATTACAAAAATAACCAGCTTGGGTATTTCTTGTTATTTTGAAGTAATTCTACATGTTGTCACGTTGTTAAAATACCTGGAAAAAGAAGAAACAGAACAGAGAACACCGAATTTAACAGTGAGATCTTTGCTTCAATCTGAACTTTATTTATGAAAACTATTCACCTAGATCGGAAAGCAGACCCTGACAAGTGGTGGTCATCTAAGACAAAACAATATCCAAGCCTAGCAGAATTTTTTAAGATTTACCTAAAATCTCTTTGGTCACTTAAGAAAATTTATAAAAAAAATATGCAAAACTCAAATTTTACAAACTTTTTTTTCTTAAATAATATTTGTAATTAGTTCGTAAATATGAATCTATAAAAAATATATATACATATTTATATGCAACCTGCTGAAATAATTCTTTAGCAAAACAACAATTTGAAAAAATGTATACTATTAAAATCTAAAATAAGCAAACTATTAAAATAAATGATCATATTTAATCTTAGCATAATTAAAAATCACAGATGTGCCAATAATCCGGAAAACTCTGCATTTTAAAAACTACTATTTAATATTTGAAATTTTAGATTTATGTCCAAATGGTTTCTAACTCAGGACGGGCCTAACAGTGCTACCTATGGTGTCACACAATCTGGCTGGATGGAAAAGCCTGCTTTTGCTGGATGGTTTAAAAAGACATTTGTCCTACATTGTCGCAAGCTTGAAGGATTCAAAGTGCTTTTTCTAGATGGCCATGCCTCACATGTAACGCTGGAACTAATTCACTTAGCAAAAGAGGAGAACATTATTATTTTTAAGCTACCGGCACGTACATCTCAGGTGCTACAGCCACTTGATGTAGGCGTATTTAGGACGGTGAAAAGTAAATAGCGCGGAATCCTGAACAACCATTTCATTCAAAACGGTTTTAAAGATCTCACAAAACCTAATTATCCTGGGTTGCTTAAACAGCTTATTGACCAAAGCTTCGTGAGCGACAATGTGCGTTTGGGCTTTAAAGCAATAGGTATTTTTTCTTTGTGTCGGGAAAAAATGACTAATGAAAAGTTAGCTATTAGATAGATTTTTGCCCAAAATACTCAAGCCTTACCAAAACTGCCTATACCAGTCACCACACTTCCAGAAATTCCTTCAAGTATACAAAAACATAGAAGTTCAAGCACACAAACTTCTTCGAGCTCAATAACACAAACTTCTTCGAGCTCATTAAATACCTCCTTTAACATGCTGCTTCTATCAAAGGTTCTTCAGAAGCTTAATGTAACTTTTCATGAGGCGCGTGTTATAATTAGAAACATTTAGCTTTGACTCTGATACGGAAGCTTTGGGAATGCCAACATGTAAAACATTTAAAATGTCTTTAAATGCTCACTGCTTGTGAGCATTTAAAGACATTTTAAATGTTTTACATGTTGGCATTCCCAAAGCTTCCGTATCAGAGCCAAAGCTAAATGTTTCTAATTATAACACGCGCCTCATGAAAAGTTACATTATGGCTTCTGAAGAACCTTTGATAGAACTTACAAATAAGCAAACAATGGCACAATATAAGAACGAAATACAAGCTAGAAAAGTTTTGCGTGAAAAAACAAAACAGGACGCTAATTCAATTAAGACTCAAAAACGTTTATCAATTGAGGCTGGTTTGTTTAACAAACCTACTATTAAAAAGCGGAAACGACAACTAATGGGATTTATTGAAACTCCGATTATGTCAGAATCCGAAGCGACTTCCATATATCAACACTGTAAATATGATGGTTCTTTGAGTTCAAAAAACTGTCAAGCTTGTGACATTTTTTTTGGAGATGAAATTGCAGCTCAACAATAATTAAGGATGCGTTGCAAATCCTCTGACAATCGGATTTTGCCGATCTAATTTGGTGAACGATATGTGCAAGAATTGCCAATAAACTAGTATTTTTTTTATAAAAAAAAAAATTATTTTTAACTTATTTGAAAAATATATTTTTAATTTTATTAACCAGCGGCATAGCGAAAGTAGCACAAGATGCTCCCAAGAAGTTCTTATGGACTTTTCTGTGATAAAACCATAAGGACTTCTTAGGACACTTGAAAAACAAAAGAAAAGGAGATAAAACCCAAAGTAATAAAATAGTTGAGTAATTATAATAAAAATAAAAAATAATACTATTTATACTTAAAAAGGGCTTTTTTTATCTGCTCCATGTTTTTTTCTTTGGCAACCCAAAAGACTTTTTTTTAGAGTTCGGGACGACGTCCTCCTTGGTTACTGGTATTACCTGATAATATAGCATTATTAAATAATAAAACAACATTTGAAAATTATTTTTTATTATTCGTAACGTGATGCGTTAATAGGATTTATATAGCATCCGAATTTATGAGATGGTAATGAAAGTTCGGTCAAAGTAGATGTTCAAAGTAGATGTTCTCATTTAAAATTAAATATTGAGTACTAGTTTTTATTTTTAATTTTTTTATTTTACAATATCGATTATCAATATAGTTTTCTGTATGTTTCAGAAAAAAAAATTTTTTTAATTTAAGCATGATAAATTTATGTTCAAAAGCTTAAGTGACCAAACTTAGGCGATTTTACGGTGTACATTAACCCTTTCGTGACGCGTGACCCGTATGGCGGTTCATAAAATTTGTATCTAAATAACGAGTGACCCGCATGGCGGTGCATAAACAATTTTACATATTTCATAACATCTATAGCAATTAGGAAAAACTTTAAAATTATCTTTGAATTGTGAATAATTTCTTTAGTTAATGCTTTAAACCGTTTCTTAATTGCATTTATAGATCGCTCAAAAATCAATTTTAAAAAATGACGAAGAACAGATTATATTATTTTATTATATTGATATAAATGAAATCTTTTGTATTTTTTTTGTTTGATCAGCACTATAAAGGGTTCATTAATTTAATATCAAAAATCATATGTTCATCTATTTTTTTATTTGTTTAAGTTTACATAAAGAAACCATATATTTTTGTTAATTTTAACATTATATATTTTGATCACGTAACTAAGATAAACAAAATTTTTTAAAGTTTCTGGATATTCTGAAAGTCAAGTCTTAGACAAAAAAAAACAAAGTCTTGTTTTTAAAATTCTGACTAGGAGTTTTTATTTTATACTCTTTCAATTAATTATGATTCTAGTTCTTTATTTTACACGCAGTCATGTAGTTTTTAGCTCAGTCGCGAAAGGGTTAAAAAGAAAAGATTTCTCCCAAATACGGTAAAGTTTAACGATTTTATACAAAAGAATTACAAATCAAAACAACTTATACGAGAACAAAACAGATTTATAACAAAATAAGATTGAAAAGAAAAACACTACATTCTATAATAAGAGAGATTCAAACCTAAACTACAAGGCTATCACACACAAAAAAAATATATTCTATAAATAGCTAACACAAAATATACAGTTATAAATCTATTTGATATATTATTCCTCCTTGAGCATATGGAGCTTCTTTGTCAAAAGTGATCTGTCCCATAGATATTTTTATCGTGAATTCATATACGAGTTTACTGACATCCATAATCGTTTTCAGCTGAGACTTCTTTGATTCGATTAACATGAGCACGTGATCAAGACTAAAGGTTATAAATTCAACGTTATACAAAGTTAATCAAATACTGATTGCCAGATGTACATAAGGTTTATAACGTTTTGGTAACTAACAAGCAATGGTGCATTATTAGTAAGGTTTATAACTTTTTTTTTTTTTTTGAACTTTCGCGAAAGTAACTAATACTTTTCAAAAAAGATCACCTAGCAGGCAATGACCCTTGACGGCTGGGTCCCACATATTAGTAAAAAAAATTTTATCTTTAAGTTTATCAACTAGGGGCTCAAAATCACGATTGTATAGCGATTTCAGAAAGAATTTTTAAATGAAAATAAATTACTTAAATTTTATATACAACAAAATTAAAAAAAAACTTAAAACATTTTTAAACAAAAATCAATAAGGCCATTTTTATGACATTTTATAGTAAAATTAATTTTTTTTAATGTTTTTAAAAAAAAAAAAAATTTGAAACCTCTACAATATTTTGGTTTTTTTGAACCCCAGTTGATATACTTTTGAAGAAATTTTTTTACTGATATGAAACTTAGGGCTGGGTGACTTAATTAGAAAAGTAAAACCTATTACATTTTAGTTACTTTCAAATCAAAGTTCATCTACTTTTGATATGGCCAACTAGGGGTACCAAAAAGTTATAATCCTAATGTACGTAGCCGTAGCTGACGCATGTCTGCAATTTAATTCTTTTTCAATTAAAATAACTGTCTCAGCAAATATTCTATAACGGAATTTCAGTAAACCTATATAGGCATTTTAAGCGGTCCACTGAGGTTTTGGTCATCAATTATCTAGTGGACCATTAGTGGCAGCTGCTTTAAGTTAGTTGATGACTAGCCATTATACCACATGTTGGCTGGCCACTTATAACATATGCCTCTAACGGTCGACTAAGTAACCGATGAGCAAAACCAACGAACCGCTCAAATTTCCTATACAGGTCCACTACAAATCCACCTCAAAAATGTCGGGGGGGGGGGGGGAGTTGCATGTCTCTGTAAATACAGGTCTTCATGAGTAATGAAAATCAATCTTTTATAATCTGAAGCAAAACAAGGCTATTTAGAAACATTGATTCTTTATCTTCAAATTGCAGAAACTATCCAAAGACATTTTCAAACTTTTTGTCATACACGTAACATCATTTTGAACTTAACAAAGTCTTTGTGCTATATGGCCATATAAACTTTCAAGTGGTATGTTTGCATACCACTGCAAAGTATGTCAGTAAAAATCAAGTTGTAAAGTATCACAAAAGTTTTGATGATTTTTAATTGTTATATGCAGGATATAGGTTGCACTGTTTAACAATTGCAGCATTTCTATGTAAGTAAAATGCAACCCTGGTTATATTTATAAATAGCATTAGCGACAACACTTTATTCCCCAAAGCAATGAAAACTCAACATTCTTATCTAGATATATTTTTTGTTGATTGCTTGATATTTTAGCTGCATTAAAATTAAATTAATTTTAATATTTAGAATTTAGCATTGTTCTTAACAATTTTAATGATTATGTGCATTAAAGTGAAATTTTAAACTTTGCTTATTCTAAACTGTTTCTACATTTTTACTTATTTATGGACTTTTTTTGCAGCAGCAGCTTCAGTTTTTGTTTATATATTATTCTTTTAAAGCACTTCCACATTTTTGTGATACAATAAAGTGTTTTTCAAAATAGAAGTTCACTGTGAAAAACCATGCAAGTGATACAAAGTCAAAAGGTAAAATTTACTGTTATCTTATACAAAAGCTACCTAGACAGCAAGTATATAGTGGTCCGATAATGGTTAGCCAATGCCAGCGAATTCTTTTAAGGCCCGATAAAGTTCCCTTCTTGTATTGCCAGTTCTGGAAAGCCGTAACAGGGTCATTACCGAGCCTTTATAAAATTGCCTGAGCTGGGTAGCCGCATAAAAACCATTACTGGCCCAACAAAGATTTGCCGAAGCAGAACAACAGACATTGGGCCGATATTGGCCCATCAGTGGTAAAATCAAATTAAAAATGATATAAACAAGAGCATTTGTGTTTACTGCGCAGAATTTTGCATCCATCTTGAAAGTCGTTTTTTTCATTTTTTATACAAATATATCTTAAAACTTTATTGTTTAAAAAAATACTTTCAGGTTATTCTGTAATGCGTACATAATAATTTCTAAATATATTTTAAAAATTAATATTTATAAAATGAAATTTATGTTTTTTAAATAACTTCTAAATAAATCATTGCAATTAATTCTTTTGTTAAATAAATAACGTTTCGTATGAGATGTGTTGTTACACAATAATTTGAAAAAGTTGTTGTTGACTTTATTTTTTAATTTTTGTTCTCCGAGTTTAATCGTTATTTAATATTTTTCAAAAAAAATGTTCTTATTTACTTATATATACAATAAATAAATCAACAAAGTTGTGATACACATTATTAGTGTATAGTCTAACAAAAGTAGATGCCAGACTTTAACAGCTTTTCACAGTTTTGTATATATTTATGATAGAGTGTTAAAAATACAACTGAGTTATATTTTATTGCTTTCACAACTTCTAGTTATAAATGTTGACCGTTTGATTTTTTGAATTGTTGTTTATATATCATTTATTGTTGTTTTTTGTAATATAATTTTTTATATACATTGAAGCATTATGCCAACTTATTACATCCAAGTTATTAATAGCTCTGTATAGTTAATCACATCACCTCTTGATCTTCTAATTTTTAATGTGGAGAAAAAGGTTTATCAGTGAGTTTTTACATGATAAATCTTTTAAACTATAAACACGAATCTATGTTGGAGTTGTTCAAACATAATAGCATGTTTCAATATTCAAGGTGAAGTCTAAATAATGATTTACTACTAATGCTATGTTTCTTTTATCTAACAATTTCAAGAAGTGTTTAATTTGCCCTAATATCAAACTTCCAAAGTCATTTTTTCTCTATAATTTCATTTTTAAAACGCTTTCATTAAAAGTTATAAAGAATTGCCAATAATGATGCTATTAACCTGATTTTTGTTTTAATATGTAGCATATATTTTTATATATTTCGTTTTAGTATGTATGCTCCAAACTTTCTGCCACTGTGAAAATAAAACTCCAAATCTTACTTCCGAGCTGTTAAGAAATTGTTTTAGTCTGAATGGTATATGTTCCGCACGGTCATGTGGTCACCTTTAACATTCTAGCAAAAAAGGCATACAAGACTTTTCAAAGCATAGCCATGAGCAATAGAATTTTCAATTTCAAAGTATAACAATAGTATTTTCAATTTCAAAGTATAGTCATGAACATAGTATTTTCAAAGTAAAGTCATGAACAAATTAAAAGCAAAATTTAAGGCAAAAATAAAAATTACAATAAAAACATAAATGTTAAAAACTAGATTAATTTAGATTACTTTAAGTGTATGAGCAATTGAAATTTGTTGTAGTCTGTTTGTAGCCCATAAAGGAGACAGAGAAAGTTTAGTTCCACTTAAAGAATGTTTTGCAATATCAAGCTTTATTGATCACAACCAGAATCTAGTTTTTCAAATGATTTAAAGTTCAGAAGTATCATAGGCTTTATTTTTGATTCAAACAATTTTTTACCAAATAAGAAGTTGTATTTTTGTTACACCATAGATGTGATCAGGCTGGTAAGATTTTGAAACAGTTATAGATTTACTGAGGAGAGTAAATCTATGACTGTAACTAGGATCTTAGTTGGTTATTAGAGTTAATGTATATGTTTAACTGATTGGCATAATAAATTAATATCGGAAGTTAGTAAATGACTGAAGCCTCAACCTCCACTCCAGCTGAATAAGTAATTTTTTACAACATTGGGTAAAATAACAAAACTAAAAGGGGTAGTTAGCCAGGGGTATTATGTAATGCATACTATATTATGTATTATACATTTATGTATAATTTTGCTATTAATATATATACTGGTATATAATATGCATGTATATATGTATGTATATATATATATATATATATATATATACATATATATATATATATATATATATATATATATATATATATATATATATATACACAAAATATATTATGAATTTCAATTAAAGATAAAATACTTAGGATATATAACAAAATAGAATGCCTTTCAGCAGTCTTAGATAACTGGGTTATTTGAAAGACAACAAACTTGATTTTTAGGATAGCTTATTCTTTCTCCCTGTAACTCCAAACATAAAAATGTTGAAATGCATAAAATTCTAATTTAAAAACATTATGCAAATGCAAAATTTTAAAGTTTGCAACAACATACTGGTAAGTTAATGTTCAGGAACATTAAAAATAATTTAAGTTGGCCCTTCATTAAATGTCAATTAAAAAAAATTATAAATATCCACCTAAAAATTCAACACCAAAATATTTAATAATAAATGAAGTTGTGCAGTTATAATTCACATAGGAAATTTTTCTATCTACTTAAGTTACATAAAATAATTCATAAAAGTATTATGACATCATATGATTACTATTTAGCATGATGGAAAACAGTTAACAAGAAACAATAAATACCATTGATTGCAGAATCTTATGGTTCAAAACTCTGTATATGTAAGAATAATGGTAACTATAAACAATTCTTAACATGGATTATGTAGTCTGTATTTTATATTTTGGTTTTGAATTTAAAAAAAAAATTAAAAACAAGTTACAGTTTGCTTGTTAAAAAAAAATGGTTAACTGCAAACCATAGGTTGAGAACTATTAGGTAAGTACAATAAAAATATGAATTTATTTTATCATTAAACATTTAAAATTAAATAAAATTATTTAAAACTATTATTTATTTGTTTCAAAACTTACATATTGCGCAAGACCATATGCTCCAATGAGTACTGGAGATGAGGTTCACATTTTGTTGAATCAAAGGACACATTAAGATAAAATGCACATTTAACATTCCTTTCCACAACAAATTTGATAGAAATACTAAATAAAAACATTAAGATTTTTTTAATAAAACAAAATTGACACGAAATAATAAAATAACACTAAGATCTTAATCAACCTTAACTTATTTTTTTAACCTGATAAAATTTTCAAAACTTAAAATAAAATTTCTTGTATATTAATAGATTAAATGTTAAATTTCCAAGAACTGGAAAAGTTAAATTTCCAAGAACTGCTAAAATGTTTTTATAAACAAATAAAAATGTTATAGCAAAAGAAACTGATAAAAATTAGAAAAAAAGTATATAATCTTATAAAGATTAAATTACTAATACGTAATTTAATGTTTTAGCTATTTGATTAATTAGCTTGACAAACTTTTCCTGTTTATTTATTCTTGAAATTTTATCTTAGTGAGTTTTGTTTTCTTTATTTCTAATAAAACCTTTCATGGCTGAAGGCTAAACTATGTAAGAATAATATTACAGAGGAGAAATATAATGGAGAGCTCAAACAACTAATTTTCATAATGTTTAAGCTATGAAAATATTCAGAATTAATTTCCAAAGTCAAATAACAATTTTTATTAATGAAAATTTGACAGCAATTGTTGTCAAATTAAATAAAAAGTTGGTTGCTGTCAAATTAAATGAAAGTATTTAACAGGAAATGTTCTATTCCACATTTCTGAACAATTAATAAAATAAAATATTAATTTTTTTTTCACAAATATTTATTTACATAATAATTCAGCTACTACAACTAGTTGAGCTATAATTGAATCGGGTCATGCTAAGGGGATCATGTTAAGGAAGTCACGAAAATTGAAAAATGAGTTAATAATGGTTTTGATGTTTTAAGAACAGGTTTCAACTATTTATGATAAAACTAGACATGTCAGATGCTTGGCTACCATAGTAACTGCAATCAATTGTAGAGCTGTTCATACTAGAAGGAGGTGAGTCACTCACTTATCCCCTTTTAGCCCCTGTCTCTTTTATCACCCTGTCACTCGCTTATCCCCTTTTAGCATAAAAATTCCTCTTATGCTGTTTATCATCATATGTATCTATTATGCTGTTTATCATCATATTATGTACTTAAATCACCATATTAAATCCTATTGAAATTATGATAAAATAGCTGTTAGAAGACGCGCATATGCAAGCTACGCTAGAATTATATAGTTTCATGTTTTGTAAAAAATATTAGTTTAGATTTATAAACTTTTATAAAAAATACTTTTATTGTAACATCTTGTCAAATCGAAAGTTTTTTTACAAATGGACTGAGATAATGTTCCCCCACCCCTTCTCATTTATTAAAATACCCCTTTTTTTATTTTTAACTTTATGTTTAACTTTATGTTTTGTGTTCTTAGTCTTATGCTATTGTATTTTACTGTATAGCTTAATCTAAATAAGAATTAACTTTATAAATTAACTTATGCTTTGTTTTTTTATTCATATCATAAATAAGTGAAATATGAAAATAAATTTAGAAGAAAGTAATGAATTTCTTAAGAAAAAGTCAGCTAAGAAAAAGAAAGCTGATTTTATGTTTCTCTTCTAAGTCTTTGTAAGAGAAACATAATAATTGCTAGAATAAAAGAACTTGTTAAAGAAATACTGTAGCTCAAAAGTACACTGGTTTAAAATTAGTATGGTACAATTCATTGCAAAGTAATATCAAAATAATAATAAAAAGGGTGATAAAAAGCCTAAAATGTTTTAGTAATGCATGACTTGTGTTCCCAAACTACAACATCATATCATAAATCTTTTGTAACACAATTTAACTCTCTCTTAATCAGTATATTCTGATTCGCATTTTGATAGTAATGTTAGTTTGAAAATTTTAGTTCTTCCAAAAGTAAGTATGCACCCTAAAAGCAAAGTAAGTATGCACCCTACAGGTAAAGTAAGTATGCACCCTACAGGCAAAGTAAGTATGCACCCTACAGGTAAACTTTTTTGTATTCAATGTTACTAATAGTTTTAGAATTTCATTTTTACAGATAAAATTTTTAATAATTTGCAGTATAACAGTATTTTTGCTGAAAGAAGTATTTATATTTCTGCAAGAGAAACAACTGTCCTGAGAAAATTAACAAAGAGGATCAAATGGATATAATAAACCATTTCCATGGTTTATTATATCCATTTATTAAAAAGAAAAAATTAACAAAAAGGAACAAATGAATATAATAAACCATTTCCGTGGTTTATTATATCCATTTGTTTGAAAGAAAACAAATCTTGTTTTCTTTTAAACAAATGGATACAATACTTTTTAATCATGGATATAATTTTAGGCTTCAAAATGTGGGGGCCATAATTATACAAAAAAAGTTGTGTTTTCGATGAAACCAAAGGTAAGCAAGTTAAAGGGAACAATAAGCAAGTTTATGCACTGCACATATGATATACAATTTCCATCTAAAGTTATTGGCTGACCTTTCATCAATTCTGAATCATAGCTTTTCCTTTAGAGCAGAGGATTGCTGAAATTTATGTGGCCAACAACCGTTTTCGTTGCTCCTATTGCTTATCTCAGACTAAAGCGATTTATTTGAAAGTATTATTTATTTTTAAAATTAGTTCTTTATATTTAGGAGTGTATGTAAATATTGATTTCTTGATGTTTTTAACAAATAACACATTTTTTAAACACATATATTTGTCTTTTTTTCAAATTATGCTAAAAGAGAATAAGTCAAACAACTTTATTTAAATTTTTTTCATATGAACGCTTTATAAATGTCATTAATCAAGTGTGTCTCATGATAACTGGGGTAATAAAGAATTTATATACAAAAAATTAGAAATTTTTGAATAAAAATAAAGATAATGCAAAGTTTTAATTAGTTTTCTCAAAACTATGTGCTCTTGACTACTCCCCTTTTAGCATGAGCCAATTCAATTTAATATTGGTAATCAAGTCAAAATCAAAATTTTGATTTTTAATACAATAAAAATTGTTCAACTAACTGTTATTTTACAGGGCGCGAAATAAGGTTTAACTCTTTTATTTTATATCATTCAAAAGTTAAAACTTCAAAAGTTTTATAAAATCATATTGTACAGTAGACTCTATCAAGGTTAAGTAGCAATACTGTCTAATAAAAATATATAAAATAAACAACTTACCCATTACTCTTTAATTTTACGGAGCCTAAAAACTTAAAAAAAACACTGTGTATATCTTTTGCAACAGGAAGCCACAAAGCAAGTCGTCTGTATATGTCCTCAAAGACCTATAAACAAATTGTATATAATTTAAGGAAAACATTTTTTTAATTTTATTGACAATATGTTTCATAATTCACAATTTAAATCATCAGGTCTAATAACTAAAATGTTATAATTTTGTATACATTAAAATTTTTATTTAGTTATATTAAAATTTAACTGTATACTTGGGTAACATATTCAAGTAGCATTTCTTGTAAAAAAAAATTTCAAACTAAAAATTGGAAATCAAAAAAAAAACAAAAAAAAAAACATGCACTAACTTAGCCTGAGGTATGGGAAATTTTACGCAAACTATAAAAATAATCATTAAGTGCAAAATTAATATTAACATTTTTTTTTTGGAAACACTTTTAAGTCCAATATTTAATATTTTTTTAAGTTTGTGGCAATTTAAAATTAGTATACCAAACCAAAATTGTAGTCCACTATTTTTTTGTATAAAAATCCACTGAAAACAATAATTTTACAAATAAAGAAAAAAAAAATTTACAAATAAGTTTATAAAAAATTAAAAAAAAAAAGCAATGGAGCATTGTTCAGAAAATTTTATTTTGCCCGAAAAAAAGCATAAACCAGATTAACATGCATATGAGCGAACCTTTTCTACACTATAGTAAACAATGAAATGAGTTTTTAGGAAAGTTTCATATTATTTCCAGGACATTCTGGTAAAAGATGTCACAGTAAAATGCACTTTGTCAACCTACTATTTGCTGCCAACTAACCTTACAATTATATATTTATATATATAGTTATAGTTTTCTACATATGAAAAAACTCAGACTTGTTCAATGCACATATTAATCAGAAATAGGAGTTTACACAGACATTACCTACATATTTTTTGAAGATTCAATACACACATTAACTGGAGGTTTAGGTTTATGCAGACATTATTTACATATAAAGGTTATTTATTGTTGCAAAAAAAAATTCATTTCTGTCATTTTTCTTAATGTTCTTTGTCCGAATTTCAGCCTTTAAAAAACCTTGATATTTCAAATAATAGAAAAAATTAAAAAATAGAAAATAAAATATCTACTATATTAAACTTCTCAATTCCCAAATGAAAATGTTATGGAAGAATAATAATAAAACTAAAATCTTTAGCTGGTTGTTAAGTTTGTTCTGCTGATACTATAGCTAGGACTTGAATATTATGTCAATATCAAATATTACGCAACAAGTCATTCCAAGTGCCATGAATTATATTATAACTATCATTTGCCAAGTCATTATTTAACATCACAAATAAATTCTCAAGGTAATTTTTTTTTTTAAATTCTTTACTTCAAGAGAAAAAAAATATGAAAATTTTAAAGCTGAACTATTATACCAAAGTGAAATTATTTGTAAAAAAGCATTTAGTTTTCAACAAAATTAGCTACTACTATACTTTTATTTATGGGCATAAGACCTTTATACCAACCTGACGTTTTAATGAAGGTTTTATCAGGTTAAAATCTGACTTTAAATAATGTATATTAATTGTTGACACCCAGAAAGTTCCATATGTAATAGTAAAGTAACAGCAAAAAAGACTGGAACAAAACTTTTTTTTTTGAAACTCAAAAACATTATTGCAAAGCCTTGTTGATGTTATTGATGTGTATTGTACACATACACAAATGACACATGTACACATGCACAAATGACACATGTACACATACAAAAACAACACATATGTACACATATACACATGACACATGTACACATACACAAATGACACATATGTATACATTAGGGCATCCCGTACTTTTCAAAAAACAACTTTTTTTATAATAAACATTTGGCCCTTGGTATTTTTTTGCTCGAAAATATTTAAATTTAGAATCTGTTAAAATAAAGCTGCTATTAATAGGTCTTCATTTGCAAAAATTGATTTATTGCTATATTTATTAACCTTAAAATTATCTTGAAGCGTCAATTCATTTTTAAGCGGAAGCAATAAAAAACCGTGAAAACTTCTTGATAAAATTAAATTTTTTACATTTCATAGGAATTTTTGAAACAAAAAAGTTCTTGATGTTCAAAATTTTTTGCATTATATTTTTTGTAATTCGCTTTTATATTTTTATTAACTTTAATTCACGAATACTATATAGTTGAAGTAAAAAATAAAATTTACAAATTTATTTAAATAAAATGAGTGGTATAAAAACAAGAAAAAAGACAAGCACAGCAATGTCTGACTTAATAGGTATATAATTTTTAAAAACATAATTGCTTTGTTTTGAAATTATTTATAATATTTTTTTTTAATATATTATTTTTAAAATAATATAATTATTAAGTCATGAATAATACATTTTCTCCTAAAAAATTTGATCAACAATAACATTGCCAATGAAAACAATAACATTGACAAATATTATTTTTTAAATATTATGATCTAATTTAAAATTAATATTAATTGTTTGATACTAATCTTATATCTTAATACAATAATATTGATATAATATTAATATGTTACTATATAACAATAATAATAATATAATAACAACAATAATAATAATAATAATAATAATAATAATAATAATAATAATAATAATAATAATAATAATAACAATAATAATAATAATAATAATAATATGATAAAATTTTATCTTAAGGAAAAGGTAGAGACTTTATTCCATCTGAACTACCAACTTATGGTGCTGTTCTTCGAAAAGCTATCCTCATTAAAGAGTTGTCAGAAAAAAAAGTATATCCTTTAGATGATTTGGTTAGGGAAACAAGGTTAGAAGTTGTTAAACAATGGAAAAAAGCAAACTCAGACTTTTCACATCCAGTTATTTTTACAGATAAGTCCATTGACAGAAAGATCAAAAAAATTTACAATGATGTTCAGGATATTTGCAGAAAAAGATTAACTAAAAAAGTAGAAATTGATAAAATAATGAAGTCTTTGTCACGACTCTTTGATATAACTAACTGCAAATGTGCAATTTTATTCTGTAGTGAATCAAGTTGTTTGGGATGTGAAAAAAAAGTTCATATTGACTGTAAATGTGAAAAGTCAATGAGGATTCCTATAATAGAATTAGAATTTATTCACTCACAGAGAAGTAAAGAAGGAGAGCAGTCTCAAATTATGATAGGATCAAAAGACTACATAGAGACTAAAAGAAAGCGAAAGGCATTTGAGCGATGTAGTAAGAAGGAACAGAGTTTAAAAAAGTTCAAAAAAAAGGAGATGATGAATAGTAGCCATTCAAAAAGAACCTATGCTGAGGTTTCAGAAAAAAGTAATGATTAAGAAGAGTGCTCTAAAAATGAGTTTGAATGTTCAAGTTACACTGAAAATATTGATTTATTAAACAAAAGTGATGATTTCAAACTAAAGCGAAATTATATGAAGATTCAAAATACTGCTATTGCTGCAATAAGATATGAAGTTTCAAACACTGCTGCAGCTGCAATAGCCTCAGGATTTTTAAAAGATTTGGTAGAAGCTAAAGTTGTTCCAGAATCAGCTCTTTTTTTATTACTGGACAAAAACAAAGTGCATAGAGCCAAAGATAAAGTTATGTCAGAATGTCAGGTTTTTGCAGAGAATAGATTAGATTCTGAGAATGTTTCTTGCATTCTCTTTGATGGAAGAAGTGATAAAACCAATTTAATGACATTTAATGAAGAAACCAAAAAGTTTTATCCTTTAATTAAAAAGGAAGATCACTATACTTTGACTGATGAATATGGTAGATATCTTCATCATTTTACGAAAGGAGAAATGTGTGAAAAATCAAAAATTAAGCCTGCTGAACATATAGCAAATCAAATATTTAAATGGTCTATTTTGCATTGTGTTGAACATAGCTTAAAGTTCATTGGTTGTGATAGCACAGCTACAAATACAGGCCATAATGGAGGTGTTATTCATTGTTTAGAAATTAAATTAGAAAGAAAATTAGGGTGGCTAATATGCTCTCTTCACACAAACGAACTTTGTTTTCGGCATTTAGTAGAAGAGCTTGATGGGAAGACAACCTCAAAGACAGGGTTTTCTGGACCAATTGGTAAGTTGCTTTTCAAGGTTACTGAAATGGAAAGAAATTACAGTTTCAAGCCAATATTTGTAGGTCCTGGTTTAATTGAACTTGATGAGGAAATAATAAAGGAGTTGTCTTCAGATCAGAAATATGCTTATAAAATATGCCAGACAGTAATTTCAGGAACTCTTACTAAAGATTTGGCAAACCAAAAACCAGGCACTATAGTTCATTCAAGGTGGCTCAATACAGGGTCTTCCTTACTTTTATTGTGGATAAGCAAGCATGGGTTAGAGGGAGATGTCCTAAGAAACTTAGAATTAATTGTTAAGTTTCTTGTATCAGTATACTTCCCTATGTGGTTCCAAATCAAAGTGAAACATAGCTGGATAGAAGGCCCACGGCACATCTTGAACCAACTTAACCTTATCAAACTTCAAGATAAAAATGTACAAAAAGTTATTGAAAAATATGTGAGATCATCAGCATGGAATTCTCATTCTGAAATTTTATTGCAGACATTACTTTGCAGCCAAAATAAAATTGAAAGGGAATTTGCTGTAAACAAAATTTTAGAAATTAGAAAATATGAGGAAACAGGAACTCTAGCTCCTAGAACATATAAGCTTCCTCATTTAAACCTGTGTGCAACCAAATTGATTGAGTTAATAACATGGGAAGAGGCCTATGAATCTATCTTAACCTGTCAAATGAACATAAATGAGCTAAAAAAAATCCTGGATTGTCCTATGGTAGTTCCATATTTCCCTGTTCACACACAAGCAGTTGAGAGGGCAGTTAAGGAGGTAAAATTAACTTTTCCTAACCTTAACAATATATTAGTTGTTTATAATGAAAAAAAAAATTTACTGCTTTAAAAATACTTTTAAAAAAGAGTTTATTTAATTTAGGTAACTGCAGCTTCTGAAACAGTGTTTGGTTTTGAGAGACGAGATGGATTTATTCGTGCAAGAGCAGAAAATAGATCGATAATACCTCGTTTTAACAGC